AAACTCAAGGTTGAGTCCAGTAAGAAATTCAAACACCCTGTTTCTTTCCACCAACTCCCTAAACATTTCTGAATCATTCTCAGTTTCCTATGCAACTATCTCCATAACATCAATTTCCTACCATAAGGATTTCAGTATAGAATAGTAGATTGCCACACTCTTCTCCCCCTGTCTTAGGTTCTTCACATCACTTTTCAGCTTGTAGACTCTAGCCACATTCAACTTCTGTGAATAAGTTTCAGTAACATTGTCTCATATCTCCTTGGCAGAGGACATCCAGAGATAGTGCTGACTTATATGAGGCTGCATAGAATTGACTAACCATCCTATGACAGTATAGTTCTCCTGCATCCATTTCTCATATTCAGGGTCTGTCTCTTCGGGTTTCACTTTACTGCCTGTGAGGTACCCTAATTTTCCTCTACTGCAGACATAAATCCTTATAGACTATGACCAAGCAAGATAATTTGTCCCATCTAACTTGATTGTGGTCACACTAGTCAAAACAGAATCTACCGAGCCAAGCCTAGAAACTGGCACCTGCTTGAACTCACTTCCGTATTGCTCCATTAATTAAACAAAAATTAAAAAAACCAGAAATTTGGTCGTTATAAACTTACTTGAAGTCAAACCAGTACCTAGATGCTTGAAAACTAGGGTTTCATTGCATCCGGTTATTGAGGAGAAAGAGAGAAGATGCAGCCGCTCCTACCAAAGCTTCCCAATCTCTTCCAAACCTGAACCGCCCTCTTTTAGAAGTCAAAAGACACCTCCCAAGCATAGAGCGCCACACCCAAAGCTTCACTGCTACTTGTAACTTCGAAAATCTCTAATCTGCTAGAGTTTTGGGCGGAAACAGTACAACACCACTTCTTGGCAATATCCGGCCAGGTTTACACTCTCCAAACCCTCTACCAACTAGGCCAAAGATCCTCTGAACTATAGAGAACCTATCTCTCCATACACTCTCTTAATCGAAGGGTGTATGGGAAAAGAGGAAGAAGAAAAGAAGAAAGAAAGAAACCTACTCTGATACCAAGTTGTAAATCAGTCCTCTAAATTTGATGTAAACTTGGGAAAATTAGAGAAAAAAGAGGAAGAAAAGAAGAGAACAGCAGTACAAGAGAAGGAAGAGGAGAAAAGAGGAGGAAGAAGAAGAAGAGTTCAAATGTCTCTTCCCTCCCTTCTCTAATCCTTTTACTAAACTTCAATCTTAGCATAATTACAAGTATACCCTTAAGTGGGCGGCCAGCTAGGTAGTAACATAAAGAGAACTAGCAAAAGAAATAACAGGCCCATTAAGATAGGCCCATTAGCTAACAAATAAATAAAACATACTACAAGAAAAGATACTAGGGCCCATTCAGCCCAATCTCTTTACAGTTATGTCACGGCTTCTAGTATCTATGCTGCCACAGGTGAGAAGGAACTTCATGTGGGCTGATACAACCTATGAAATTTGGGAACAAGCAAAATCCACCTATTTTGACCAATGACACTATTAAAGTCTCTTAGTTTTTTATGTTCTTTAGTGCTGCCGGGGTACATTTGTAATTTTTCTTCTTTTTATTATTATGTTAGGTGATTGGGTCGCCCAAACATAAATACTGTTAGAATGCTCGAGTCAAGGGTATTTTGGTCATTCTGGTGTATCTTATTGAAAGTGAAATGTCTATTGTATCTGAGTTTAAGTTATGTGTCCCATCTTCTACGAGGGACAAAATTGTCTTTCTTGTAACTCAAGTTTTCATGAATAAAAGTCAAGTGGGTCGGCTAGGAGAGGTACTTTTGTACATCCTCTCTTATAGTCTGGCCGAATACTTTTCTCCTCTCCTTCTTCTTCTTCCTTCTCTTTTCTTTCTTCTTTCTTCGTCTCTACTTTGACCTAGAAACAACTAGGGTTTATTCACAAATACTTAAGCTGGCACTGCCAGCCTACTCTTTTTTGACCCCAAATTTCTTTCTTCTCTCTTCTCTCCTCTCTCTTTTCTCTTTTCCTTTCTCTGTTCTTTCTGGCATTTTTACCAAGAAAAGATGGTATCAGAGCGGCTTTTCTGGGATTAGAAGCAGTTCAATCAAAGTTTTTTCTCCAGTTTTCTCGCTTTCCTTTCTCTTGTGGATCGAACCTATCAAGTGGTGCATCAGACTAATCTGAAGGGAGTTTCAGTGTAGTTCTTCCCTTTCCTCTTGGTCGTGTTCCAAAAATCATTAAAGGGAGGGAAGTTAAATGCAAGGTGGTTCTCTCATTCTCCTGTGGATCATGTGATCCTTTTCTACCCAGGTAAGTGGGTTATGGAGGTCTGAATGACCTGTGATTTCTGTGTTTTTTTTCAGTCTTGTGGATCGTGTGATCCTTTTTTTCTGCTCAAATAACTGGGTTGTATAGGTCTAAATGACCTGTGACTGTGTGACAGCAGTTCTCTATCCTTTTTTTGGGATTACAGTAGTTGTGTGGCCAAGAAAACTGATGAAGGGTTACTTATGAGGGTGGTTTAGTTCTGAAATTGATCTTGTTTCATCTCTGGAATTGATTCAGCAGTGTGGTAGTGAATGTTCTTTATGTGTGCACCAAAGGGAATGGTCATATAGTGCTATTTGTGTGAGAACAAGTATCTCTGTGACTATTTTTTGACTGAACTGTGAAATCAGACCTTTATATCATGTCTTATGAGGATTCTAGTGTGTCTAGTGTGTCCTCCAATCAAGGTGGAGTGAATGGAGGCTTTGACATGAGTTCTCCTATGGTTGTGATACCATTCAATGGTTTCAATTACCTAGAATGGTCGAGGGGAATTAAACTTTACATAACTGTCAGGAGGAAGTGGGTTATATTAATGGTAAAACCAAAGAACCGAAGTTTGGGGGTGAAGAACATGATAGGTAGGACCAGGAAAACAGCATGGTGATGACATGGCTGTTACTATCTATGCTACCTCAAGTAAGGAAGACATTCATATGGGCTGAAACAGCTTATGAAATTATGAGAAGGCAAAATCTACCTATTTAGAGCAACGACATTATACCAAAATCTTTTACTTGCAAGCTGCTTCCTCAACTTGTAAGCAGGGGGAGAGGCGTCTCTCAGCATACAATTCTGATTTGACCTCAATTTGGAAAGCAATGGACCATTATCAGAACATAGACTGGAAGTGTGATGCAGATGCTAAGGCCTACAAGTCTCTAGTTTTCCAACAACGGGTTTTTGCCTTCCTCTTGGGGCTGAACCCTGTATATGAGTCTCTTAGAGTTCAGATATTGGGAAGTAAAGATCTTCCATCAGTGCAAGAAGTAGGCCTTAGTGGGAAGCCAAAGTGGGCCCAAAGCTGAGTAAAAATCAGATCAGAATAAGAAACCGGGACAGCAAGGTTAGAAGAAATTTAATGCAGCAAACTTGGCCTCTCAAGAGTCTCAACCATCTACTACTATCTTGAGCCAAGACCGCCCCTCCATGACTGATTCCCGGGAAGATATCATTAATTCTTTCCATGACCATTTGGAGCTATATGGTTGGACAATCCGTCAGATGGATTTTGCTCATCCTACCTCAACTTCCTTTGTGTCTACTTCAGGTAATGGTAATTCTACTACAACCTTCCTTTGCATCTACTTCAACCCAAGTGCACGCCTATTGAAAATTTGCCCATTTTTTCTATTTTTTATGCCTAGCAACTGGGCTTAGGGCTTTGCTCCTAGACCCCCAACCAAACCCCCCGAGGCTAGAGTGAAGAGAACCCCCTATTTGCTAATGTTGCTCATTCATTCATCCTAATAAAAGATGTTTTCAAGAGACAATTAAAATTCTAAATCTTTTTTATAGGGATTGAGAATCTAAGACCCTATTATGGACTTGTTTGGGCTTGCCTTGAGGGGCTGGGTACAAAGGTGGCTTGTAGAACCAAGAATGCATAATGTTTAACATCACATTAGATATTTGAAGTAATGCAATATAGTTTTTTTTTAAAATATAAACATCTATTTTAAAATTTGTTTATATTTTTAATTATTATGATGTTCAATATTTTTAATTTTTTGTATTTTTTGATTTTTTTGGCACCTCACCTTGCGCTTTTAAAACACTGGAAGCTCCCTAAGATAGTGTAAAAATCCAATTAATACCTCTCTCACCCCAAAAGCTCCTAGACCATCTTCTATCAATCTCCTACAGCTTTAGACTCCTGAGTCAACAAAATATCTGGCATTTCACTTCTAAGTACCTCCTTTATTGCCCTTCTCCTAGCCCTTCCAAGGCCAAGAGAGAGGCTGGCATTTTGCAATTTTTGCCTCTTTTAAACTTTTCTCTCTTCTCTTTTCTTCTCTTCTTCCTAGTTCCTGGATTGTCACATAACAACAATCATACTGTATAAATTGTTCTAGCTCAACTGAACCATAGATTGGATAGTTTCTTAGACCTATAACTGGTCCCCTACAGTCAAAATAGGAGGCATATAGTCCATCAAAGAGCTTACAGTCCTTATCTCTTCTCACCAAAGATACCTTTGATCATTATGGCTGCAAGATTACTAAAGCTGCTACCGCATGATCAGAAATCACAATCCAGGAAAATATTCTATAATGCCTTTACCTCCATCGCTATGTTTGTATTCCCAAAAGAACATTCTCTGGTTTTACAACCAAGAAAAAGGATAAAAAAGGGTTTGTAGATCTATGGTAGAACTTGCTTTGATACCATGTTATCTGCCATTGGAAAAAAAGAGCAAAAGAGAAAATAATAGAGAAGATAAAGATGCTGAGAGAATTCAAGTGGGTTGCGGCATGCACTCTATTATTTTATTAGGGTGAACATACTAAATAGTATAGAAATTACAACAGTACATGGTATATATGAAGGTAATATGGTATTTGTAACCCTATATATACTAGTGTCCAAGCATCAGTCAAATCTTAAAACCACTCTTCATAACTTGCAAAGTTCATGTATAACACAAGCAATGATGCATCTAGACAGATGGGATTAGTTACAGATAGTAAACATTGAAAACCTGATGAGATTCCAGCTGCTGAACCTGCAGCCAAGAGAGAAAGCTTCCTTTCTTTATTACACTCAAATAAATTACCAACTCCCTTGGCTATGGATGCACCAATCTCAACACTAGGACCTTCAGGTCCCAATGAATTTCCAGTCCCTAGAGTAATGGCGGCTGCAACTGCCTTTAAAAATGGCCTTGAAGCAGCCTTCAAATCAGATAAGAATGTTCCTTCAGAAGGGGTTTTGAGAGCAACATGAAGACTGTTCAATGCACCTACCATCATACCCCCACAAACAGGTACTAAAATTACTTGTTTCCAAATTTCTTCAATAGGCTCCTCTCTCAACCATGAAGCACCTCGAGAAGCAATTCCATCCCAGAAGAAATCCCGTATTTCATGCACCTAGAAAAATAAGAGAGATTTTCCATTAAGCAAAAATCAATATGCATATAGATAACAAATAGAGAGCAATACAATACTGGCCTTTACCTGAGAAGACCACTTCAGTTTTTTGGTTAAAACTACAAATACACCATTATATTATAATTTGCTTACCATTGGGCCATGACATCATTCTAATAAGTCAAATGATATGAAGGATTTCTGATCTAAGACTCTCATATCCTCAAGGACTTCAATGAGAACTGGATGCATGTGGTTAGATTTAAGACATTAATATGATATCCTATGCCAATACATGATAAGTGAGCCAACAGTAAACAGTGTCAAGTAACAGAAAGCCAGTCAGTAAACCATTTCATTTTATCAGTGCATTTCTCTCCTGACATTTTTTATCCAAAAACCCGAGAAAAATCCAGATTAGTCAATGTTTTAAACTGAACTAATTTGTGAAAGTTTATAGAAACATTTTGAAATTCATTTAATTTATGAAAACATTAGGGAAACATTGGAAATTAGGTTGGAATTGAAATCCCAGTATTAGCAACAGATTAATGTAAGAAAAAGAGGTAGAAGAGACGAAAGAGTCTACATGAAGAAAGAAGAAATTTTGGGGAAACTAGAAAAGAATGCAGCACAAACACCTTATTGATATGCTCCTAATGTGGTGGGGTGGGGGATATTTTAACTGGTTGAGTTTGACATTGATGGTTGTTTTTCTTGTATTTGTTGCACAGGGTTTAATTTTTAGTTTTAGGGTGGTTTGTTTCAAGAGGTGTCTTGTTGGCTTTTATTGTGGTTGTTATTTTATGGGTGATTTTATCACCTTTCTTTGTACCTTCTTTTTTCTTTTAATGAAATTTATCTTTACTATAAAAAAATGCTCCTAAACATATTGATACTCCCCCTTCTAGCTGGTTAAAAAAATATTATAAGTGCCCAACTTTGAAAGTGTTTTCTTGGAGAAATCGAAGAAGAGAGGAAGAGAGAAAGTAAAAAGTTTGGGGTCGAAAAGATAGGCTGGCAGCTCCAGCACTTGTATTTATATTAGGGCATCCCAACAACTTAAAATAAAAAGAGTACAAAGACAAAAAAACTTGTGGTTATATTAGGGCATCCCAACAACTTAAAATAAAAGAGTACAAAGACAAAAAAAAACCCTGTGGCTTAAGTACAAGTACTGTTAACACTCCCCCTCAAGTTGGGACATAGATGTCAATCATGCCCAATTTGTTACACAAGTCAGTGTGTCGCGGGTGATGTAAGCCCTTTGTGAAGATATCTACAATTTGCTCTTCAGAACTAACATAGTAACATAAGGGTGCATACTTTGCCATTCACAATTTTCTCTTTAATAAAGTGTTTGTACATTTCAATGTGCTTAATCCTATCATGAAGAACCCAATTGGTAGTAATATTGATAGCTGCCTTGTTGTCACAATATAATACATAGGACTATCACGAGTGAATCCCAAGTCACTTAACCGATTTTTTATCCACAACATTTTAGCAACACCATGGGACATGGCTCTATATTCTTCTTCCACACTAAACCTAGCCACCGCACTTTGTTTCTTACTCCTCCATGTGACAAGATTTCTTCCCATGAAAGTGCAATATCCATGGATAGATTTCCTGTCATCTACAGATCCAACCCAACCAGCATTTGTATACACTTCCACCTTTAAATGCCCATGCTTCTGGAATAACAAACCAGCCCCTGGATGATACTTCTTGAGATACTTGAGAATCCTCTTACCAGCCTCCATGTGGGTAGCCTTAGGGGCATGCAAGAACTGACTAAGGAAACCCATGGCATATGCAATATCAAGCCTAGTCATAGACAAATACAGAAGCCTGCCTACAAGTCTCGGGAACTATTTCACATCCTTTATTGTCTCACCATCCCAATCACCCAACTTGTGATTAGGGTCAATGGGAGAATCAGTTGACTTTGCTTCCAATTTATCCATGTCTTGTAAAAGATCTTGGATGTGTTTCCTTTGAGAAATGAAGATCCCATTTTTTGAGCGGGCAACTTCCAATTCCAAGAAAATACCTCAAGGAACCTAGATCTTTCACCTCAAACTAATTGGCTAAAAACTTCTTGAGCTTCAAAATTTCACTTGTCCAATCCCTAGTGACTACTATGAGTCTATGTCATCAACATACACTATTACTACTATAATTTTTCCTCCTCCCCCCCTTCACAAATAGTGTTTGGTCAGACTGCCACTACTTGAAACCAATTTATTGCACGGCTAAATAGAACTGACTAGACCAAGCCCTCCGTGATTGTTTTAGTCCATACAAGGATTTCTTCATCTTTTGCTCATTCCCTTTAGCATAGAAACCAGGAGGTTGAACCATATATACTTCTTCTGCATCACCATTCAAGAAGGCATTCTTGATATCTAGTTAATGAAGATACCAATCAAAATTGGTTGCCAAAGAGAGGACTCTAATAGAGTTCATCTTGGCAACAAGGGCAAAGGTCTCAACATAAGCTACTCTATATTACTTGTGTGAACCCCTTTGCCACCAACTTGGCTTTATAGCTTTCTGTTGTGCCATCAGCCCTATGTTTCACTATAAATACCCACATGCACCCTACCGGTTCTTTTACATCAGGAAGGTCCACCAACTCCATGTACCATTTTTATGTAAAGCACTTGTTTCCTCTTCCATTGAATTTGTCCATTCAAGGACCAACAAGGCTTTGCTACATTCTTACGGATAGGAATACTATTAATGGAAGACAAAAAAGAATATAAGGGAGGTGAGATGTTTTCATAGGAAACAAAATGGGAAATATGATACTTGGTAGAACAAGACCTAACACCCTTTCTTTTAGCAATAGGATGTCAAGATCATCAACATTAAAAGCATCTATATCAATGGGTTCAAGCATATCAATAGGGACAATAGTACTTGGTAGAAAAGGATCTACCTCAGAGATTCTGATGATGTCGGTCGTACAACTTCAAATTGCTTTATGTCTTCTGAACTCGTCTGGCCCTTCGACAACGAAGAAACACACAAAATGGAGGAGGATTAAGAAGAGGAGGAAGTTGAACTTGTATGTGTTTCTCCTCAACCTTATTCTCCCCCTGAGGAGAAATAGAAAAAATGGGTCATTATCAAAGATGGACATATCCATGGATACATAGTATTTCCTATAGACAAGATCAAAGCACTAGTAACCCTTTTGAGAAGAAGGGTAACCCAAGAAAACACATGGAATAGCACAAGGGTCTAGTTTACCATGGAAGGGAGATAGGTCATGAACAAAGCAACAACAACCAAACACACGCATGGGGACAAAGAACAATGGAGCTTTGGGAAACATTTAACTAGTTCACACCCCAATCGGAAGTGTGGGAGTAGGACGAAGAAGCGACTCTTCAATAGAATCATGGCATTACTATTCACACACCCAAAACAAACATTTAACTTAATGTTGGAGGAATTACAAATTTGCCCCTAAATGGGTGCCCAAATACAAATAAATTGGAAGGACAAGAATGCCCTTGCCCTCAATATATAATCTCAACACTCCCCCTCAAGATAAGCATAGATACCTATCATGCTCAGTTGGCCTAGGTTTTTATCGAGTTTCAACTTATGGAGGCCCTTGGTAAGTGTTACAGACTGTATAATTAAAATAGGAAGATGCTACAGACTGTATAATTAAAATAGGAAGTAAATACTAGGGAGATATGATGTTACAGACTGTATAATTAAAATAGGAAGTAAATACTAGGGAGATATGATTTACCTTGATTGTAGGACTGATTTGTAGGAATTTAATTAGTCTTCTTTCCTAATATATTCTTTCCTAACATAGAATTTGTAACTTGTATATATACATACGAGATTGATGAATAATACAACAAATTCTTCTTCTTCCTCTATTTACTCTTATTTTACATGGTATCAGAGTATCTAGTCTCTGCCTGCCCTTTTGTTTTTTTGTTTTTTTTTAAGTAAACAGTAGGTAGAGGAAAATTTCTGGGTGTTTCGGGTCACCTCCTTGGAGCAGTCAGAGCATCTAGTCTTTGCAAAGTTCGGCAGTCAGCAGCCCTGCGCGTGTGTCTCATGCACCGCTTGAAGACTCTGCCACAGTCACACGCGCCGGCACATGGAGGCACATCTGTCGCCGGAAAATTTTTTCAGTCGTTGTCTTTTGTCTTGCCTCGTCCTGTATAGCACATATTTGTGCTTTGTTACGTGCATATCCATTCCGGTGTTTTCAACAGGTGTGCTCTGTTGATTTTCGGTGTTCAAAATATTCTGTTTATTTGAATTTTGAGATTATGGCAGACAAGAAATCAGT